TTTCCAGCATAGTTAGTAAAAAAAAAATCTCGTATGAGCACTGACAGTTTAAATTTAGCTGTTATAGTGAATATTAACTTTCTAGAGCACTTCTCTGAATGCATTTATAATCCATTATAATCTTAATTATAACATTAATATTTGTTCCCTCATTCTATCTCTTAGAACTGTAATTTTGTCATCTCTTAGAAGCTGGTATGATTAATGTTTTCCAGAAGTGAAATACTGCATGTATTCGACAGCATGTTACTCCTCTTCTGCATCGCTGGTGAAAACTTTATTACTTCTCTAAATAACATGAAGAAAGACTCCTCCCCTTCTCCCCCTCTCCCCACCAAAAATTCTCAGGGATTTCTCACTCAGGAACTCGTAAATGGAATTAAGAAATCTCACATACACCTGCCATGTGCTCCACAAGTAGAAATCTCAGAAGAGTTGAGATTCTGCCTTTTCCTTAAGGATTAAGTGTCTCATTGTACCATTAGTCTGCCTGGAAACCTCAGTCTAAGATTCAGTTGATCAGTACACATTGATACTACCTTGCTAAGGAAGAAAAACTGGTTGTCAAACAAATATTTTGGTAATAATTTGGAAGGAAAAAAACATTTATCAGGGGAGTACGATGAGTATGAGATGTCTGAGGATCTGGGAGAATAAAAATAGATCACAACAGGCAAAAATAAGAGGAGGCAATACACTGAGAAGGAGAAAAAAAGACATAAGATTTACATAAGATTTGTAAGAAAAGACAATTCACAATAAGATTGGAAAAATTACATGAAAAGCAAAATAAATAGGAGGGGAAGATTTTATGACATGTCCCATCTTTCCATATTCTTTCTTATCTTCTATTAGTCAAGCCTAATAGCCACAATTCAAATTGTTGGAAAGAAAAACATCACATTCTAATTTGTTAAAAGAGATTTTTAAATTTTTTAAAACACTTGGTTAAATTTTCAACTTTAAATTGGAAGACAGTTTAAAAAATAAAGTAGATATATCCTGCTTAGAAAATTTCCTCAAGATCATAATCATTTTTATTCAATACACTTGGAAAGTGTTCAGCAAAAATATTTAAGTTCGTAAAGAAAGCAACTTTATATTCAAGTTAACTCTTAATTTTAGAATATAGTGCTTCCTAGTAAACAGAACTTAATGATGCACTGAATGCTCAGATTAAGTTATTTTCAAAGGAACTGAAATCTAAGAGGATTTGTGACATGGGTCATAAAAAAGTATTTCTAATCTCTTTCTGGATTTTCTTCTGGAGATCACCCTCTGCTCACTTCATTCTTCACCTCTCACCCCCATTTGTATTTGGAAGCCAAACTAAATGAAGTATTTTCTCACCTTCCACAGATTTTCTCACCAGATATTACACAATTGCCTCTTTATCCCTCTGATACATTTGAATTATGAGTCAAAAGACAATCTTTGACCTTCACCATAGGAGTTCATATCTCTCTTCAAGTCACTTTATTTCTTCTGAACTGCAAACCTTCTGGAGCATAAGGTGTAAGAAGCCTTTAAGGATTGTTTATAGAGATGTTTATTAACTATAAGGCCTGCAGAATATCCACTTTTTATCCTACTTCCTATTTATTCCTACCCTAATCTTGTTGAAACATATTGAGCAAAATGTCTTAATAAAGACTTGTGATAATGGCGTCCACCAGCTATTTTATATCATAGAACTTTAAATAGACCTGTTTTTATAATCTTCATTTCCACTACGAAACACTGTTTATCTTAATGTACAACAATGTTAGGTTCTGCATGAATGCAGTTATTTATGGTCTCTAATTTGGATATTTAAATAACAATGGACATTTTCATACATAAATGTTTCACCATATTAATAGATTTTCTGTTACATTCCTGGGAGTGTTACATGCCCATTATCTTCATTTGCAAAGGAGAACCAAGGCACTGAGATAACAGCTCAAGCATGTCAGTCTGTTAGGAAACTGAACACATGTTCCACCAGCACTGCAGCTGTATAGACTGAAAGAGTTTGTGTCCTTACTATTAAACAGGATTCCCATAGAAACTTTTAGAAATGGTCCTGACAGTGCTCACTCCTAAAGTAACCCCAAGAGTAGTTTATAAAGATGCTAATTAGCACAGAGCAAAAGCATGACAAAAGATTCAAACGTGGTTATGGGTTAAGAGATCCAACTCCAGTGCCCAGACTCGGTCTGCAGCTACATTCAAAATTTGCAAGTACAGCTTTAGCTGAAAAACAAACAGCTGAAATGAATGTCTGGTCTTTACCATGGGCAAAAGGACAGAATTTTATCCAGGACTGCCAACATACATAAGCTAACTTGAGAGAAGATATGAAGAACAACAGTCTGTCACTGTTCTTAAGCAAAACTCTGGTTTTCCCTTGAGATGATGAGAATGAGCCCTGTGAGAACTCTCAAGGGCAGCTACGTCTGATTACTAATATGAATGCAAGCAAGAGAATTGGCTGAGAAATGAGGAGAAAAGGAAGGTGTTATTCCATTCCTCCTTGTTTAAAAGCCTCCCTGTATAGCAAGGGTGCAGCTGTTGAAATCAAAACCGCTGCTTCCTTCAGAAGGAGCTACAGTGCTTTAGCTGGAGCCAAATCAAGTTCCTTACTTTTACTGAGTTTAACATAGCAGAACTGAGTTACTGTGTTCCTCTTATTTGCTTTAAGAAGCTTTGGAATTATAAATCACAAAGTCTTCATTACTAGGCAAACTGTTAATCAGGAAAAAAAAAAGACCAGCCTACAGATATTCTGACTTCTATAATAATTAAAAACTATCTTGTTTTTATTCAGATCTTGACTTAGATCAGATTCAAGTTACAAAAGTTCATTTTCCTTGTGTGGTAAGACAAAAGTCAACTCAGGTAAACTTGTAGCTGAACTAAAAATTGGACCTAGGACTCTAGCCTGTAGACTACTGATCCTTTGTCAATAGCTATATTTTATAATCATTTATTTGAGGGATATAATCAATTTCTATCTGATGAGAAAGAACTCCTTTCTTTCCTCTCAGTGCATTTTGATATATTACATGGGACAAACAGGGTACATTTTAACATACTAAATCAACAGTCATTATTCCTCTGTCATAAAGATTACATCACTCCTGCAAACTAAATACTTAACTTACACTTAATAAGAATAATAGGGAGAATCTGAAAAACATAGTCAATACAAAATACTGTCAGTAAGACCTGGAGCAGGCCCAACGAAACTAGACTAAAGTTAATCTAAAGAGAATGTTGACAGGCTCAATACAGTGCAGCTCCTCAGCTGTCAAAGAACAGCCATGTCATGATCACATGACTACTCGAATTAGAAAGGTAATATCAAAGCTACTCTGTCAATGGAAACACACCTATAAACTTCAGTCATTTTCAGACCACAGCTGTAAGAAGATGGACCAGGAAGTCAAGAAGTTGATTACAGTACTAAGTTTCATACCTCACTATAAAGTGTCACAACTCCCATTAAATGTAATGCATTGAAAACATGGAACCTAGACCAATCTTCTACACAGAGACAAATTAACCACAGCACCAGGAAACAATAAAAATAGATATTTCACTTTTGTAGAGAATCAAGGAGCCATAGGATAGCTACGGACTTATCTAAAAAAAAGCCAGTGTGTTTTCAAAGGATTCATTTAGATGTATTCATTCCCAGTCAGCTACTGGATTTCACCCCGAAACTAACAATTAAAAGAAATAAGCTCAAATGACCTGTCTCATACACCCTGATAGTTCCAATAAACTAATCTGTGACCAGAAAAAAAGATGCTTCTACTCTAGGGTGTATGAGTACTACATAGTCATGCAAAGTCACAAACAAAATATGGTCCTATTACTTTTTCTTATGGTCAGTTCATTCAAAGTATTTCATTTGGACTCTTAGCTCTAATAATACCGTATGCCCAGTGCTGCACAACCAGGACTTGGCAATATGCTATATTGCCATCTGGTTTTGTTTACCATAGATTTTAAACTATTAAACATTTATTAAAGACCTTATTGGTTAAACCATCTTCAATAATCATTGTTATTATTTATTAATCATAATACATCCACATAATTACTTACAGCCTCCTTCTAGTACCCTTACTCACACTGAGTAATAGTTTAGACTATGATATATCCCTACAAAACAAACCACAGAGTTGGCTGGCACTCAGCAGAGATTTGGGAAACCAACATGGTTTCTCTGTAGCATTTGCACAAGGTGTAGTCAGTTAAATGATTACATGCACATACACGTGTGTTTCAGTTTTCCAAAAAGTTCTCTAAGGTTCCAATTATATAAATCTCTAACCGAAATTAATATTTCTAACTTTTCTGAGCTAATGGATTGGCAGGAAGGGCCAAATTACTGCTGCTGTCATTTAATCAATGTCACTAACCCAAATTGTAAAAAGCAGGTATGTTTTGTTTCTTAAGATAGTTTCTTCCTGGTGCATTATTCAATGCCTACTGCTGTCTTTGGCCAATTTATAACACAGACTAGATATATTATAACACAGCATTTCTGCAAACAGAAGTACCCGATTTTTTGTAACTTGGAGAACTGAGCATCAAATGACTCACTTTTTAAATTAACCCAAAATGAAGATGCAACCTGCCATAAAATACAACTGAACTGTTTTAAGGAAATCGTGGGTGGGCCATTCAGTAAGGAAATCCTTCAAAAAAATGTATATATACTAGAAAATTTGACTTAATATAATCAGAAGATAAATAGCCCTCGAAAGTATCTTTCTCCACAATACACATAAGCCAGGGAAAGTAAAGATGTATGTATTTAAGAGGAAGGAATTCTGACATTGTACAGATAATCAAGGAAGAGATTATTTTGAGAAAACAGCATGTAACACAATTAAGAACCCTTGAGAAACAAGACATCAAGTCTCTGCTAGCCATTTGTGAATGAAGAAGATATACTACAGTCCTAATGAGTTTGATCCAGACAAGAGATTAAATAACTCTCTTACCTTGGGCTGGTAAAACTGTAAAGGCCAGAAGGTTTCAACATGTTTATGACATATTGGATTTTTGTTATCACAAACAGATGATAACTTGAGGCGCTAGAAAAAAAAGTTGAAAATAAGTTAGCTTTCCTATTTTCATTCAGTTGTCAAGAATAAATACTAAAGATCTTCTTTTTTTTTTCTTAAATAAATTATTTTGCGATCCTCAGCACCGGCTTAGGAATTCCCTTACCAACAAAATCCACCAAGAAAACATTTTAGAAAGGTAAACATGTTATCAAGGTAGACTCAATTGATGTTCACATTTAATTAACATGCATATGAACAGACACTTCGGAAAGGAGGCAAGCATGTAATTTCACTTAGAGAGAAGCTTTTGGCATTTTCCAGGAAGTAAAACAGATGGAATTTTGCCTACATATAGAAGAACTGTGACCTTTGAGTAGGGGATTTTCTTAGGTAGAAATGATCTTAGCAGAAACATTCTGTAATTAGAACAAGTAGATGCTTTTTTTTTTCCATACTTCACCTAGTTTTTATTCATAACTAAATGCTGCATTAAGATTAGAACTAAGCTTCCCGGTTGTAATTAATGCAAATGATAAGTAAAAATAAACAGAAACATCAGGGACTGCACGCATTGTTACAACGCATTTTAATTCACTGTCACTAAATGAAGTAATCTTAATTTCAATCACACACAAAAAAAAAAAAAAAAAAAAAAACTTGCCTGAATATTCACATTCAGAACTTAAAAGTAATCAGTTTATAACAGCAGGTTAAAACCAAACAAAAATACTACAGCATAACAGAACCTTAACAAACTCTCTCTGATTCAGTCAATTCTGATGCTTTTATTTTATGATATTTTAAACAATCAAAAAGATTAACAATATAAAAAAGTGATACAGGAGGCATAATGACATAGCAACTAATAGGAAGGCACTATAAAGGAAAGAAAAAAGGCCAGTCACCTGTCTCCAAAGATCTAGACTCACAGGGGAACATAACGCTAAAGAGGGATATGCAGAAAGAAATCCTTCCCCGGTAGGGGTCAACTCTTAACTGAGGTCTAAGAGAGGTGCAGCCAGACTCCACCCCTTCTGGTCACAAAGCTGAATTGCCTTCACCTGTGCTTCCAGGGCTTACCAGGTCCTTTTCCCAGGTGCTCAATCAGTGGTTCAGGCCATGACTCAACAATTCTGACATAGACATGTGTTACTTGAACAAGTTTTTTCTGCTCATTAAAACATTTAACCATCTAAACATCTGATGTTTGTGAAAAAGAGGTATTCTGTAAGGTAAAATTCTTCAGTTACCTTATTCACAGCTCCATACAGCTTTTTCAAGCTTTACCTAAACATCCTTTACTTTGAATCTCTTATTTTAGTTTTTACTAAGCATAACAAAGAAGCATTTATTTACAGGACAGTTCACAAGAAATTCAGCTTTGAAATTCCATTGTAGCCCATGAAATAGATCTCATCTTTTAAGAACTAAGTGAAAGTTTAGTATGTGCTGAGCATCTCTTTGGCCAAGATTTACGTACTCCCATCTTCTCAAAAATCTCTCAGGCTTGGACAATGCAGTATAACTTGCAGTCAAGCATGCTGTCTAGCATTACTACTAATGTACTTGCGATTCAATAAATCATATTTTATTTAGCTGAAAAGACTATAATAACTGAACAGATTCCAGTTCATGGAACTTCTAGGAAGCCACAGGAGATGAAGATATTTCTTTAGCTTTTAGTGCTTCCTGAGTTTCAGTTTTATAGCCCATGCTGGAAGGGTTTCCCTCTTCTAAAAGTAACAGTCTGGATTAAACAGTTCTTGATTTGTGACTTGATTGGCTGTAGATTTGCAGTGTGACTTTGGGCAAGACTCTATGAACTAGGTTGATCTCAATTAATTTCAGGATTCTTTGTCTGCTGGCAGCATCTGCCCTAATTTTCAGCTTCAGCATATATATGTTGTCCTGACCCCAGGTTGTGCCAGTGACAGCAGTCCAGAGGGCAATATGAAAACTAAAACAACTAAGGAATCCACCTCTTTATGCTTTAATCCTCCACCTGACAAAAGCAGAGAACAGAAATCCCATCTTTTCTAAATACATATTCTGAAAACAAAAATGTAACTTAGAGATTAGGAAATGCAGTAATTATAGAAGTAACACAGCAGTGATAATAGAAAATCCACCTTTTATTACATTATTATAAAGAGACATTTCTTGACTGTTGAATCAAATTAGAAATAAAGATTTTTGTCCTGTTCCTAAATGTATTTGGCAAAGATTAGGTAGAATTCATCAAAAATATGAACGACACAAAGAGCATTTACTCTGAAAAATTATCTTTTCTCGTGTGTTATTTGCTATGAATATTTAGTTTCTTTATGGCTGTTTTTCACTGAGGTGTTTCTAACATAATATTTACAGATCATGCTCAAAAATATCCTGGCCATTTAATTTGTAGAGTAATAGAACAACAACAACAACAACAAAAACTATTAGTTAGTTTCATATTGGCAGCTGGAACTCTATATAGTAGCTATAGTATGTTTCTGCACTCAATTAAATGGAAAATGCAGAAATCAAGTAATTAAAAAATGTATTGTAATACACATACACCAGAGGGCAGAATGAAGGCCGTTTTTGAGATTTCCTGGCTTTGAGCATACAGTGCAGCAGCACAGCTGAACAGTGAGCAAAAGGCTTTTTTGCATTTATAAGAGTATTTATAATTCCAGTCAGAAGTAGAATCTTCCTAATTGTCTTATTGGCAGATGTAACCAGGTGTTAAGATAAATACAGAAATGCTGCTGTAGTAAGAAGAAACATAAAACATCCTTTGCAATGAGTTAATAAGTCAACAGCCAACCTTAGAGAACTTGCTTGTAGACTGCTCTATCCAGGCCTGTCTCATCAGAGTAAGGATTGTAGGAGTCACAAAAACAACAATACTTATTTTAAAGGAGAGTTAGAGAGACAAGTTTTTCTGAATCACTTCAGAGTGGTTCATAATACTTGGAGTGCTGGACAAAGCATCCCACTTGATAGGGATCAATAAGCTGGTGTGATTGCAGCTGTCAAGAATAAAAATTTAAAATGTGCATTTCTATAAAGACATAATATCCTCGTGTTCTAATGCACTTTTTGGTAATAATTTTTGAAATTTTGATACGTAAGTATAAATCCGAATTAAAAAAAATAGCTGAAGCCAAAGGAAAAGACTGTTAAGATTTGATGTAAAAGTTTTTGTAAATTTTTAGCACGTGAATTTTAAAATAACATTTAGAAATTACTAATTCTACTGATGCAAATCACTTTGTCAAAAGCCACTGGTTTAAGAACTCAAGGAATAGAAGACGATCTGCTTTTCAGAAGATACAACTGGAAGTTCCTAATCACAGCTCAGTTTATCTTCTTTACTTGGTTTTTTTAAAGCTAAATATTAAACCTGAATGCACTTTATTTTGGGACTAGCAGCATAGTACTCATAGCTTTGTCCAAGATGTTAGTATATGCTCTTCTAGTCTTCTCCTGGAGAATTTAAAATTAAACCTGAAAAATTAAAGGTGTTTCCTAGAGATGAAGTGTTAACTTTATCCTCATCACATTTTTTCAATACCCCATAACATGACATTTTCCTTAATATGCACCTGCTTGCTAGAGACACCTGGTCAATTATATAATTGACATAAATTTTATTATATCTAACATGAAAGAATATCTCTGCTGAGTACTGCCATGTTAGATCCATCACCATGGGTGAGAACTGGGAGGTTCTACAAATATTTCCATTCTCCAGTGAGAAGTCTCCTCAGACCTACAGCTGTTTTGTCATTCTTCAGTCTGCCATGAAGCATGTTATAAATCCTATTGGCAGCAGTAAGAAATATTTTGTGATGTTGTGTATGATTGCACAATTATATACACATACAGGAACTTAGTCCAAATTTGAAACACTAAGTTTGATGTGAAGCCCAGTAAAATTAATGCTAGTTTATGTATTTTTTTTCAGTTTCTTTATAACCAGTCCTAGCTAACTTATTCCATTACAAAATGGATCAATTCACAGAAAGAGTGAGCTTTGGTTTCTCTCTTGACATGCTACATAAGAGTGATAACTTCTATCACAAAGTATATCTGAATCTCCCAATAAAAGTTTATCCTGCTGTTCAAATCTCATAATAAATACTGCAGGCTGTCCACTGAGAGCATAAGCTTAGCTGAATAAGGTCTCCATGAGACACAATTTAGAACAGTAAGAACGTCTGACAATAAATGTTGATTGTTTTAACAAAAGAGCACATAAGATTACAACGACAAATGAATTTGTCCTAGGTAAAATACTATGCTTTTTCTTCTAACCATTTCTTTAAAATGTACATATACCTATATCCAGACAATTTTGCCTGTCAAAATTTTAGAAAATTTCACAGATTTCATAAAAAATACATCAACAGAAGACCTGTATTTCCAGGGAGTATACTATCATGAAAATTAAGTTTTGTGTATGTGCAAATCTTTATGCGTGTATGGGAGCTACTAAATCACGACCTGAACCTCTGATTGATCACCTGAGGCGAGCAATGAGTCAGCCATGGGAGCACAGCTGAAGGCAATTCACCTGTGCAGCCGGAAGGAGTGGAGCCTGGCTGCACCTCTCCTAGACCCCATTTAAGGGCTGACTGCCACTAAGGAAGGTTTTCTCTCTGGAGATTGCTCCTATTTGAACCTTTTTCTGTAAGCCCAGGGCACGAGTAAGGTTTTTTTCATGCACTTCTATTCCATTATATTTTCCTGGAGCAGCCAAGGGACACCTAGAAAAATGAGATAGCACCACCTCCTTAGGTATGCCTTAGCACCTCCTGCTGTAGTGTATGTAAGAGAGTCCTCTCTGGCTGCAATCAATTCTCCGGTCATTTAAGGTACACAGTTAAAATTGAAATGGTGACAAGGGAAAATATATTTCGAATTCTGAGCTACACTCCTAAATGTATCTTAGGGATGCTATAATCTATCCTTTCCCCTCCTGTCAAAAACTTCAGGGTCAGAAGGACTCAGGGAAGGAATGTTAGAAACAGTGGAGGCTC